AGCTCAGCAGCAAACACAGTCTACACCATAGTCAAGTTCTTAATAATAAGTGACTTGAATCCTTATTGACAATCAAATACTTAATGTGCGACAAGAATATTGCAAACAGATTATAAAGGAACCAATGCCTCAGTTGAATCTTAATTTAAGGTAGTTGATGAAGTTTGAATTATTTTTAAGCTCTTGATTCTAGTGAAAACTTCTACTAATAACCTAACAATATCACAAAAGAATGTAAAAGAAGACAAAAAATCAGATTAAAAATCCATATAGGGATGTCGCCTATATGTGAAGAGGAAGGAAACACTAGATAAGCACCATTTCGATACATCAGGGCTAAAAAAAGGGTAATTGCCCATCAGCATAATGGTACAAAACTAAACAGAAGTGGTAATCAAGCAAATAAGTTCAACAAATAATAACAATTCAAATAAGATAAACAACTGAAAACAGAGGAAATACCTTCACAATTTTGTATATATCAGAACCCCCAGAGCCGCTCCCGCCTTTTGCAAGCCTTCCACTAGCTTTTCCATTTGCACCCTTAATTTTAGTAACCAACTTTTGCTTTGAAAATGTATCCTGCAGCTTCACAAAATTATCCTCCCTAAACTGCTCATTTTCATCAACCACAAGATACAATCCAATCCCACCCATAGGAAAAACATAATGCTGCAGCGGAGTTGGCCTAAAATCTGTATACACCACGTGGCATGGCTGTTTGTGCAAATGACAAATCCATTCTGCAAACTCTGTGGCATTTGACATTGTTGCCGAAAGAAAAACCATCTTAATAGCTGGAGGCAAAAATATTATACTCTCTTCCCAAACAACCCCTCTTTCCCTATCCTTCATATAGTGAATTTCATCAAAAATTACCCAAGCAACTTCCTTCAAAACCTCTGACCCCCTATAAAGCATCCCTCTCAGAATCTCTGTTGTCATAACCAAACAACTGGCATTAGGAGATAGTGTAACATCACCAGTCATCAACCCAACATCTTGAAATTCATGATGTAGCTCCCTATACTTTTGGTTACTCAAAGCTTTCAATGGTGAAGTATATATAACCCTCTGCTTATCTCTGAATGCCATTGCAATTGCATATTCAGCCACTGCAGTTTTACCGGCTGATGTATGTGCAGAGACCAAAACCGACTCGTTTCTTTCGAGGCATGCCAATGATACTTTCTGAAATGGATCAAGCTCAAAATTGTAGGTTTTAGCCATCTCCCCGTTGTACACTGGATTTGAAAGGGTCCCATGAACAGATTCGTCTTTGGTAGAAGTATAACCGCTTGGAACAGCAACTCATGTACACAAGTGCGTGATAGATTTCTTCTTTTTGAAGCAGATTCTTGCTTTGGAGAATCTGATAGCTCTGATTTTTCAGGTGATCTCCGCTTACCTAATGAAGATGATTCTTCCTCCATAATAATGTTCCAATACTATCCTCAAGCAGAAATTTGTCCAATCTTATCCACAAAATTATTCACTGCGTGTTTCTGCGAAAAAAATCATAAAGAAACGCTTAAAAAATCTTGATCTTGGAAGCATTATAAACTGTTAAAACCAAAAAAAGGAAGTAAGTTGAAAGGAAAACAAGGAAAATAATCCTGCACATTTACAGTATCATAAAGAAACGCTTAAAAAAGAACGGATTGTTCTCGGTCAAATCATATTATGAAACCCTTGTGGGTTTGGATGACGGCATTACAATCCCTTTTCTGGCAAAACAAATATGGAAGATTAATGCTCCACCTAAGACTGCTTTCTTTGCGTGGAAAGCCAGTAGGAGTGCCATTTTAACCATTGATTGCTTGAGGAAAAGAGGTCAAGTGCTGGTTAACTGTCGCTATATGTGTAAAAGCCAGGTTGAGACATGTAACCATCCACTATTTTTTTGCCCGGCTGTTCAACATATTTGGTCTATGATCTATGGGCCTGTTGGGGGTTCATTAGGTGAGGGCTGGGTCTGTTAGGGAGGAGATTTGGGTGTGGCAGGTGATGGGTTGGAATTTTAATTCTTTAGTCTAATTCCGTTGACTATTTTTTGGATTATTTGGAAAGAAAATAATAGAAGAGCTTTTGATGGGGTAGAAAGCAATTCGTGTAGAATTAGAGATGGATGGTTTCACTTGTTGGTGCTTTAATTTTGGGGCATGATATGTATAGGATGGAAGATTTTGGGTATATGATTGATTGCCTAACAAACATATAATTTTTTATACATGGTTTGCACCCCCTAGGTGCTTTGTTAATAGATTTACACTTTCTATTTCAAAAAAAAAGTATTAAAATCATCCGGTTTGTTATCAAGTTATAGACCCATTAATCGTAAAAGAGCTACTCTATTAATCAATGCTCATTATTTTAAGCTCAGATAAACAAAATCTGCAAGCTGCAAAATATAATCCGTAGCTCCCTTCAACTGAGGCATTACAATTACAACAATAAAACCAAAACAGGGAACGAAAAATTTCGGTGTTTCCTTCTTTTTCCCTTTGAAATTATAATATCGTATCCTCATAACTTAAAATCATCAATATCAAAAACCTCTCCTTGAACTTCCAGCAAGTTTTCAAGAGCTACAGTCTACAAGAAGTTCATAAACCATAACCCAAAAAATAGAAGAACATATTCTGCAGCGAAATACTAAACCAAATAATCAATTCACTATGAACCTTAAAGCAAAGGAAAAAAAAAAAAGGAAGACAAGAACAAGCTAACCTTAGCGCGAGAAGAGGAAAGAAACTCACACTCGCAAACTGGTGTCAGCAGCGTCTACCCAGAACAATGCAAAGCCTAAAATTATTCAGCAAAGTTAAGGTTTTTCTTTGTTTGGTTACTGAGGAAGTACGTGAAAGAAAGAAACTCGAATGATGGACGAAGAAAATTATAGAACTAAGAAAGAACGAGTTATGTATTAGGGTTTTGTGCCCGAAAGAGAAACACAAACAAGGCCCAGTTTTTTTTTTGAAGCAACCGGTAGACTTTTAGCCCACAAACAGAAATCCAAAAATATTATACATTTTTTATTGAATTTAATTATATAAAGTTTTATAACAATTTTAGGATAATAAAATTAATAAAAAGGAATTTTTATTTTAAAAATATTACAAATTATTAAAATATATAATTCAAATTATTATTTAATAACTAGTAAAATTATAAAAATAATGCCTTTGAAATTTTTTCAAGTAGAAAAAATATAAATTTTTATTTATTTTATTCATTTTAAAATTAATAAATTAAAGTATTTTTAAATAATTTTATATTAAATTTAAATTTTTTAAAAATAATATATTACTATTTAAAAGATAAATATATATCAAAATTTTTTAAAAAATAAATTCTCGCTAATAATATAATTTTTTAAAAAAATAAACATATTTTAAATTTAAATTAATAAATAAAATAAATTATAATTTTTATATTAATCTTTAATAATATCATTATTAAAATTAGAAGAAGGGAAATATGTAAAACAGTTAGAAACTGATACTTGGGTACACAAAATTAAAATCGATTTCTGTCCATAAATAAATACAAAAAACAATAAAAATAAAACTAAAATTTATCTACTTTGTCCTATAAAATTGCTATTAAAAATGTTATTTTAATATCTGTAAATATTTTTTTATAAAACTTTATATAAAAATAAAAAATATAAAAATATTTATACATCTAGAATATGTGAATAAGATCTTCTAAATAAACCTCAAATTTATCAGTTTATATTAAAATAATAAGATCAGCCCCCACAACTAGGACTGTAATTTTTGTCCTTTCAAAAGGAAACAAAAAACAAAACAAACTGATGTAATATATAAGATTAAACTACTCCTGCCTTTTTCTTTGTCTTCTACCTCATCAACCAAAACTCTCTGTAATTCAGATCAGAAAAATCTCATTTAAACATTGAAAAATCTACATTCTTTTTACAAATACAAAAAAACAAAAACAAAAAACTAAACCATACAAATTTCTTGCTATTGCTTTCTACAACAAAACCTAAGTGGGAGTAAATTTTCAAATACTAAACACTTGAAAAGGAGGAGTTGACATTTGACCTCACGGCGGCAGAGCAATTTTTTACCATGTTACCAACTAGTTTAAAAGGCCAGATTTCCTAACTGGAATATCTCCAATGGCAGCCATGCCTGCTTTTTTTCTTCAAGTATATCAGACCAACTACTGCTGTAATTTTTTGCCTGGTAATGAAGTTAGAATTCCTTCTGCCTACAGCCTCTCTGTTCTACATTACAGCATTTGATGAAGACATTTTAAGGAATCGGTGTCTAACTGCTAAAGGAGCTTGTTTCTTTAGTTGCTTACGCTTTATGCGGGCTGCAAAATTGGAGATGATATCCGGTTCGTGTGAATCTGTATTTCGTAGAAGAAAGGTATGAACATAAAAATCTGACAAATAACTAAGGTAAGACTTAGTTTAAGCATTCCCGTTGTCCGAGCTGCTACAAGCTTGATTTTGAAGGACTGAGTTCCCAAAATCTCCATCCAAGCTCATCTGCTGCACTTCTTGCGGCGACAAGATCTTGATGCAACGTACACAATTTACGAACTCCCTGAAATTTTTCCAAACAGAATTTTAAAATATAGATTTGACTCAATAAGAAATTATGTAACTTTCATGTGGTAGAAACAAAGCAATTTTGGACTGGTGCTTAGCAATATCTATTATAAATGCCAAGAATGCATAACACAAAGCATCTCATAAACTTCACAAGATAATTGGTTATAATTGATCATTTAGCACCCAATGAACTTGGGGAGAGAAACTTTATAATTTCAGAATGGATTATTGCTAAAACACAAATACTTACGACAATGCTAGTCGTAATCAATTGTAACCGATTATCTCATAAACTTAAGCTGATAAAAAATAGTATAATCCATTATTTATATATTAAAATGTCATGTACAAAACTGCTAGACTAAATGGATTAACCAAGCACAAGTTTCTAACACTCCCTTTGGCTCTAATTTCATGTTAAACAATCAATTGCAATCAATTCTTCCAAAAGTTCAGTTGATAAGAAACTGACCAATCAATTATTGTACGGTAACACACAGCAAATCACCATAAATAATGTGAACTATCAATATTGAGTAAGTCTTGAACAGAATGCAAAGAGGATAAGGGAACATAAATTAAAAGAGGGATCAAAATGACTTACTCCCAAGGGTCATCTCCTACGAGCAGAACATCATTCTCATGATCTACATATACAAGCTTCCAACCAATTCTTCCTCGGTCTTCCAATTGCCCCTCGATACCAAACCTTCGAGCTAGATCCTGCTTAAGCTCATCATAGCCTGAATAACGGGTAATATCAATTGATCTCCCAACAGCTCCTCGCTTATACACCTTCATTTAAAACATGGCCAATTTAAAACCCTTGCATGTATTATAGAAAGAGAGATGGCAAACAAACGATTTAACACATTGAAATGTGTTTATCTAGAACAGCAAACCTTGGTATATGTCCGCATTCTCTGAAATTGTGGTGGGGGAGCCCATGTGCTCCGGTTCAAGAAACTGGCATCATTTATGGTGGAGTCAATTGAATTAAATGTCATATCTGGAACTCCAAACGACTGAGAAACAATTGATGAGGAAAGCTCCTGCTGAGCATCCTTAGAGCTTTCATAGTTGGCAAGCATGCCTCCTGATGAAAGAGTGTTTGAGAAATCCTTTGCCAATCCTCCTATGCCCTTTGTCAATAAAGAATCATGATTCATGGGCACTGCCAGTTGACCATCAACATTACTTCCATATGGAATGTTGTTCCTTAAATCTGCTTGAACTTCTCCATCTTGATTAGGGTCCCTCATCAACATTGATTGCGGGTTGTAAGTAAGCGAATTATTATTAGTCTGTAGATGGATGTCATTCTGAGAGAGGCAAACCGAAGTTGAAGATGACGTGTCCAAATAATCCATATGTGGAGCATTGCCATTAAGATATGTTTGCGGAGCTAAAAATCCTTGGCTTTGACTCTTGGAGATGTTCAGTGAAGGCTTAACATCAGACTTCTGTGGCAAGTCTTTAACCATATTCACATTGGATGAAACAGTTTCCAAGGCATTAGGATTCAATAGCATGGCTGAGGACTGGGCCATGTCCTCCCCCAGTGTTGTGTTTTTGCTGGCACGATTGCTTACCAGAGTCTGGACATTCGGACAGTTGTTTGTGGAAGGAGAAGTAGAACAAGACGGAACATCATCAGTGATCACAGACTGCCCAGCTCCTGCAGCTCCTGTCATCATACTGCTGCCATTCATGGAGAGCTGATTGGTTGTTACCGTTGAGCAAAGTCCCACATTTCCAGGCAATTCAGAAAATCCAGAAGATTGTTGTTGCTGAAGCTTCAGCTGCTGTGGAGTTTGGGAGAACCGAATATTTGTTTGGCTATTACTCTTTGTCATCTGGTTTGGAATAACATTCGACTGAGGAAGTGAGGTGGTTGCTGCATTAGGTATTTCCATCATTTGGCTGGGTACCACGGACCTAGGGTAGCTTTGGGATGCATCCAATAGCTGCCTCTGCGGATCCTGAAGTTGGGGAAGTTGAGCGGGCTGTTGCAATGTCGATTGCTGGGCTAAAATTGCTTGCTGCTGCTGCTGAAGCTTCTGCAGCAGCTGAAGTTGAATCTGACTGTCAGACATTTGTAAATGCTGGTTTACTTGATCACTCAGCTGGGGTTGTGTCAAGTTCTGTTGCTGATTAAGGGCCACCATATTCTGTTGTTGCTGTTGCTGTTGCTGTTGCAGTTGCTGTTGCTGTTGCGGCTGCTGCTGTGGCTGCATGTTCTGGGGAAGGTTTCGAGAAAGCTGGTGGCTAGATAGTTGCTGCTGAAGAATATTATTACCCTGGACCAAAGTTTGAGGTTGCAGGATTTGAGCTTGAACTTGACTTGAGGGTAGAGTTTGAGTAATTATATTTTGCCTTGCTTGCTGCGTAATATCACTTAACTGCTGTTGTGGCTGCATAACAGAGCCTAGTGGTAACATTGTAGATGGTAGCTTGGGCAGCTGATCCAAGTGTTGCGCTTGCTGAGGCAACCTCTGGGCATTGAACTGCAAATTGCTCGCCTGAGGGATTTGAGGCGTGGAAAAATTCAATTGGCGGGAAAGATCTGTTCCACCAAGGTTCTGTAGAACAGATCCAGACAAGGAATTTATGTAGTTTTGCTGCACTGAGTTAGCCAGCGAAGTGTTTTGCTGCATGTTCATCCATTGTACCAAGCTCAGGCCAGGCAGAGCTTGGGTATCCCTCACGCAGAGATCATCCCAGGGCATACTCCTCTTGAATACATTCTCTAAGTCTGAGGATTCATCATCTACAAATAAAAAACAAAAGTCAAATGCATTCTCACCAAAACTTTTTAACTAACAAAGCCCAAATCAGTTGGATATAAAACTTATTTTCATATCATGAAAGAACCAATTTAATGCCTGTGTAAAGAAATGATTGTGAAGCATTGGCATTTGTAGATTTATCATCTGCAAAAGAGTCACTATAAAGCTAGAATGTTGAGAAGGTCCGTATTCCTGGTCACATAGGTTGCTTATATGGAAGAAACTACTACGTAACAATCAGCCCGATTGAAATGGCTGAAATAGAAAAGCATTTTAAAAAACTAAACAAAAG